TGCCAATCTTGGTTTGGGAGATCAGCCAGGCTGGGATTTTCCAGGATAAAACGACCTCCCTGTCTGCCTCCAGCAGCAGTTCGTGGTTTACATGAGTTTTACTTTATTAAGTTTACTTTTTTTATATTCCATTCTCCCCACCCACCCAGTTTTCTTTTTCTTTCTTTCTTTTTCTTTCTTTCCTTCCATTCCTCCCTCCCTCCCTTTTCTTTCTTTTCATTCCTCCCTTTTCTTCTTTCTTACTTTCTTTCCATTCCTCCATCCATTTTCTTCTTTCTTTCTCTTTCTTTCTTTCCTTCCATTCCTCCCTCCCTTTTCTTTATCTCTCTCTCTCTCTCTCATCATTACAACCAGGCGTGGGAGCACATAGCGGTTAATTTGTGCGAGCAATCTATTTAACAGATTAAGAAGTTGCCCTTTAAATGAGATTTTAAACAGAGGCTTAAGCTACATCGACCTGTGCTTCCATCCCAAGTGGAATTCCTCAGGATGGAAGGAATGGGGGGGCGGGGCCTGTCCTCCCCTCCAGGCTCTCCTGCCAGCCCTTCCCGGGGGCCAAAAGCCTCAAAGCTCAATTTAGCCCAGACAGGACAGGCAGTGGGGGCGGCAAAGGCAGTGTCCAGGCCCAAGGTGGCTTGAATCCCTGGATGCACCTGCCTGGGCGAGAGCCCATCCCGCCGGCTGAAGCAGGTGACCCGACTGCCTCCCCGGTCTCCTGCTCTCTGGGCCCCTTCAAGCCCCTGTGCAGGCGGCTGGGCTGAAGCGGCACCGCCGACCACACTCGCTTCGGGCATCCGCCACCCAGAAGAACCCATCTCTCTTCCCCTTAAGCACCTCAGCCTTTCCCTGGCATGGAGACCAGGCAGGGCGGTGTCTGGGTTGTGCCCAGAGCCGGGAGGAGGCTGTTTTGCCACCCGGTGCTCTTCATACACCTGCTGCTTTAGGAAGTGCTCCTGAGCATGGGCAATGCTGGTGGAGGTGGATAGTCTTAGGCAACCCCTGTGAAAGGGTCGTTCAACTCCCAAAGAGGTCGTGACCCATAGGTTTAGAACCACTGGTCTAGTGGTTAAGGCATCAAGCAAATAGCCTCAGTTTTAGTCCACCTTGGCCATGAAAGCTGAATGGGTGACTTTAGTTAAGTCACTCTCTATCAGCCCAACTCACCTCACAGAGTTGTGTTGGAGAAAATAGAAGGAAGGACTATTGTGTGTGTTTGTCACCTTATTTATTGGGGAAAAATAAATGCAAGATATAAGAAAATACAATTCATAATCTTGGAAACAAGATTCAATTAAAAAAATTTGCACAATGAATACCATGGTAGATATATTTAATTTTTCATTCAACATTGTTTTGAATTGAAATGTATTATACAATGATCTGATTAGTAAAGTGTAAGATAGTGCTTAAATTTATGCACCTTGCCCTTCTAATATTTAAACATTATCAGAGATATTAAAAATTCTCACCTTATAAATCTCTTCATAAGTTTCTTCATCAATTTCTATTGTGGTCACAGTCTCTTCAACATCACCCAAAATCATATTTAAATGCTGGTCATATGCCTTTGAAATTGAAACAAGTTCATAAATATTGTTCTGGTGGCATCATTTATGTGGCACAAATAGAAAAATAATAAAATTCCAGCTTTAACAAGTAGTAATTTGTTTTAATTTTCTAGTCTGCTGAACCTAACTCTTTTATCATGCAAATTGATTTCTACAGTTACATTCCATGCATAATTGTTGGAAGTATTATTATAATCAGACTGGATGATTCTTATATATATTGATGGCAATAGTGTAAAATCCAGCAATCTGGAAAATGATTTATTATAGAATGAAACCAATATTAAATGCTGATTTTTCTTTCCTGTCAGCTGTTTTTCTGTTCAATATATTTTATCAAAACTTTGATTTCTAAATCTATTGTAAGATAGCTCTTACATGATAATAGCTGTCAGAACTCTTTGTCCCTTTATTGGAAATTATACATAATTCCCTTTAAAAGATGACAAATTAAGTTATGGGAGTGTGCATCCAAGTCAAACTTAATTTCATATTTAAAAACAAGTTTGGCACAGAATTTTAATTTCAAGTTGGAAACCTTGTCTGGATTATAACTCTCCATATGGACCTGTATTACATCCAAAATTTGGGTAGTTCTTAGCATAAGGATTTAATATAATAGCTTCTGTTTGAATTGTTAAATAAACACTTGAATTCTTATTTTTGATAGATACTTTTACTAATATGTTGTTTTAACTCATGACTAATTATATTTAGCACTTTAGTTAATTATGGGATATAGATTTAATCTTAATGGTTTTCAGATCTTAAAAACCAGAGTCTTTAATATGCAGTTCTGATCTAATGATATCTCAAAATTGTAATGTTCATATTGTAGCAGTCTTTTCTATTTTTTGTTTTTCTTATTTTTATACTAGATTTCTCCTCAATATATTAAATATATATTGAAATAAATGTTCTGTGCATATAACACACATAGCCAAACTTTAATGAAAAGTTCACAGGAAACTAAGTGAATAGCATCCTTCTGTTCAGCCACTGGACAGTTCTGAACAATATTCACTGACCAGTTGCTAATACTATACCAATGAATAGAAAACCTAATGCTATAATTTATATACAATATATAATTTTATATATAATTTTATGCATTCACAAAGATGGATCTTGCTCAGGAGAGGCAGTCTAACTTAACAACCGAGATGAGTCCATACAGAAATATACTTTATGGATGTGATAAAGCTCATTCATTCTTTAATGCATGCATCAAATATAGACAAACCCATTTCAAACACCACTATGTGCCAAAAACATGGATATAAAAAGTTATGCATAATGAAGATGGAGGATAATCGCTAACACTTTGCAAAAGGTTTCTCTTGTTATACTGTCTAGATAAAACTGAATATACTTTCAACTCTTTTTCCTCTGAAATAATACTGAGGGCCTAAGTTTTCCTCTATGTCAGATATAATGCTGCTATAACAAAAAAACTTTAAACATCAACTACAACTAGATAAAGTAGTCCAGTTTTTAAAAGCAAAAATATTTTAACTACTGATGCAATTGCCTGAGAAAAGGGTAAAATACCACCCTACTCAATGAAAAACTACATGCTTGTTTTTGATATAGCATGACACATGGACACAGATCATTAATAAACCATACATTGAATCTCTATTTGTTTTGCAAACTAATTGCAATTGTAGTGCAAAGCTGTGACTTTAAAAATGAAGATTCAAGATCTATGCATGTTTATAACTTGTTGGTACTCATATCAAAAGCTCTAACAAATCCAGAGATAGAACAGAAATAAAGATTTAGAAAGGAAAATAGAAATCAGGAATAGGCTAAACAAACCATAATTACTTTGACTCAGACACAGAGGCATTTCACCCCTTTATAACCACTTGCAAATGGGCCCTGGTTATAGCTATGTTTGGAGTGTGATTCTCAAAAGCCTCTTGCAGTCCTTGAGCTAAAAAAATGTACAACTCTACTTTAAAATTTCAGTCCCTCTCCCCATTTCTATGTAATTTTACTTACATGTAACCTGCCTCGAAGTTCTCGGTCATTCCTCATTTTTACATAAATCCGTTCATCAAGACTAAGCCTGATGAGATCCAAAGGCTCTTCTACAGTGTTGGTAGTTTGTTGCTATAAAATATAAAAATTTAGAGATATACTTTAGCAAAGACACTTGAGACAATTTGTTCCAGTAGCTAAGGCTAAAAATGAGAAGATAATGAGAATTTTCACTTTAGGCATCAAAGCCAGCTGTGTGACTTTCAGCTGGTCACTCTCTCTCAGCCCAATCCACCTCATAAGGTTATTGTTGTGGGGAAAATAGGAGGATGGAGTATTAGATTTGTTTGTTACCTTGAATTGTTTATAAAAATCATAAAAGCAGGTTGTATATAAATAAATAGTAAATGTTGGCTACTGATACTCATTTCTTCCCAAAAAATCCTAATCTGAGGACAACTAATGTTTACTGAAATCAAATGGGAAGCAATTAAGTTATAGTTTGTAATATAATGTAGTGAATTTTCATCAGCTGTCAGAGGGACAAGAATTCACTTGTGATGACTGGATCAACAGGAAAATGTAAGATTAGAGAAAACGTATACTGCTTCCCTCAACTTAATCCACATTAGTAATTGTTCAATATATTCATATTTGCTTTTGAAAAATCTTAGAAATCTTAGAAAAGACCACCTCTTTTTTAAACAAAAGACTGGATGTAAATTTCTATCTTGTCAAAGATTATAATAATGTCTATGTTTTGCTGACAGTTTGAGTCAATGTCCTTCAAATAAAAGTATTACATATAATTGAATTTTTCTTTGACCATAATACTTATCAATCCCAAACAAAAAGAATATAGTGTCATATACTATTTTTCTGCTTTATATTTCAAGTTTATAATCTTATTTTCCAATATTGAAAAAGATCACTAATTTCAAGAAAGAGATAAAATAATTAAAAAGTTTCATATCAAGAAATGCTCATACAATTTAGATTTTATAGACTAACCTTTCCTACTTATAAACAGCATATCTATATGAACTTGCTACCCCCTTCAACAAGTATAAGTTGAATAATTTTACACACAAAAGGCATTCAACAACTACACAAATATGTACACCCAGTTCATAGCAACACATTAGTGGTACACCTGCTTTGAAAAAAGATGCCTGTTAGGTTTAATCCAGGGGTTGCTCAAGATTTAAGAATCAATATAGCAATGGAATGATTAAAGGCAGTATTTCCTTAAACTTTCTCCCCTCAGGATCTCTTGCCACTTTTAAAAATTAGGGTTTGTATGGATTATATTTATCAATATTCACATTAAAAATTAAAACCGACACTTGGATAAGCAGCAAAACGTTTCAAACAAAAAAGAAAATTAGTCCAGTTGCCCTGACTCAGCTTCTAGTCTGGATGGCTGAGAATCCTTCATCAGCTTCTCACTATAGTCTGGTAAGTTTTTTAATATTTCATTATTTTTCTAAACAGAAAATTATTTCGATTTCGCGAACCCTCTGGGACGCCCAATTTTGAGAAAACACCGATTTAAGGCATTTGATCAGAAACTATGAAACAGCATTTCATCCACTGCAAAACCTTAATGTTGTCTTATGTTTGTATCAATTAAGGCTTTGAAAAAGGAAAGCAAAAGCAGATTATATAGTAGGAGTTGTGTCGGTATTTGAGATGAGCGGCCGTATAATCGATTAAATCAGAGGTCTTCAAACTTGGCAACTGTAAGACTTGTGGACTTCAACTCCCAAAATTCTCCAGCCAGCAGAGCCTGCTGGAGAATTCTGGGAGTTGAAGTCCACAAGTCTTACAGTTGCCAAGTTTGGGGACTCCTGAATTAAACAAACCTCAAGAGGCAGGTCGCTGAATGAAACACGAACGCCCACCAGGAACCGTTTACTGGGACTTTGCGAAACTCAAAGCGAGAGCTGGAAACCGGAGCTCTACTTAACCTCCTCCCCCCAGCTTTCCTACACTTTCCGCCTCAACGGGGTCAAATCCCTAGAAGATTCAGCGGCCACCCAGCCGCCAAACCGGCCGTTTCACCCACCTGATCCACCTCGTCCGCCATTTTTTCAAAGGCAGACCGCTTTCTTCTCGCGAGATTTTAAATCACGCCCTGATACGGCGCTTCCGAACGTCTATAGCGGAGTATACATAAAGCTACGAAAATAGATGCTCGCGTAAACGTCCAGCTTCCGGGTTAATTCATCGAAATCGCCGCCCTTTTTCTCTTTCCAGTACTGCATTTTTTTGTAAAAAAAACAAACAAAAATCTTCCACGGTTTGTCGCGTCCATTTTTATACAACCCCCCCCCCCAACCTGAGCGATTTTAAGATGTCTGAGTTTCAATTCCTGGTCCATTTCAACGTTGCCCAGGTTGAGAAACGCTGAGTTAGATTATCCCAAATGTGCTTTTTGTCTTTTTTGTCTTGTCTTTTTATGTACACTGAAAGCATATGCACCAAAGACAAATTCCTTGTATGAATTTGGCCAATAGGCCAATAAAGAATTATATTCTATTCTATTCTTTTTTAAGAGGCAACTGGACAAGCACCTTTGAGATAATACTAACCACGACCTGGATGACTGAGAATCTCCACAGACGCTGGGTTAGATGAACAGGCTGAATTCACACACATAAGCAAGGCTGGTGGAAAGCAAGCCGCCTCCGTCCGCGATTTTCCTCA